GTGTAGCCGCCAAAGTCTTGAGAACAGCATGAAGTACTTTAAGTGGTTTTGTCCTAGAAAGTTGCTTGAGAGAGGCACACAAGTTACTGCTGAAATGACCAGCAATTTAATAGTTAGCAAAGTTCATAGCAAATATTCTGGTGATTTTGTTTAGTTTTTTGAAGCCTCAAGGTTATCACAACACTCAAACAAATGGCCCAGTTCAAGCTTCTTGGAATATTGTTAGAGATTGCCTGATGGCCTAGGAAGGTAGCGTTGGATTACAGTTGGTTAACATTTCAAAATAACCTTGGCAACTGTGAGAGCACAAGGCCTCTCTAGTAAAATGAAATCACAGATTATGTGGGCTGCCAGCAGCTGTTTATGCCTTCTGCCTTACTTAAACATAGCCGTATGGTTTGTAGTTTGTAGACACACATGGAAAAAGGTTGCTATTTTAAAGATTATGCAGTCTAGCTAGAACACATAGTTTGGGGGCAGATGTTGGGATGTGGTTAAAAATTATATATACCAATAATAAAATTTTGAATGCGTAGTAACAGCAGCCATAGTTTTTGCAGTTTTCTTTTGCACTTAAAGCTCCCAGCAAAGGTGCAGGATAAAGCTAATAGGCCCAGCTGACACATGCACAATCCTCCCTGAGCATTCTGCAACCAACAGAGTAGTAGCTTCTGGAGGAATAAATAATAACTTTCTAAACTGCAAATGGATAATGTGCCATTAAGAGTTTGGTCATACCAAATGTGTTATAAAACTGCAGGTGTAAATAGATAAAGAGTTTCTTATAGATGGAACTGTGTGCTGTTACTTTAGTCAATGGTATTTTTTCCTTCTTTCCAAATTTTAAATATTTATAACAAACCAGAAAGTACAATCAGTGTTTGAGACTCTGCTACATATTTCAGCTTTGTAACACCAATTGGAACACACTGTGTTTTGCTCAGAGCTGTCGAGTGCTATTGTAGATAAGAAACTAATACATGAGCTGTAGGTAGAGGACTTCTAAAGGCAAAACCACAGTAGAAACACCTTTAAAAACAAGTTTACTCTGAAAGAACTATGTATATTTTAGACAATAAAATAGTTTAAATAGCTTGCTTAATCTCCTGTGGTCTTGCTATTACTCTTTAGAGGGGTCCGGTTAAAGACTTGAAATCATAGTGTTAAACAGTATATCGAGTTCTGTAGTTGGATGTTGCAGGCAAAAGTTATCTCTAGCATTATTTAAGGCTTTATTAAGAGACTGTTTAAAACAGATTAATTATATTGCGCTGCACTAGTGTAGTGACCTTCAAATTTACCATCATTTAGACAAATCAAAAATAGCTGTGATATAAAAATAACAAATTTCAGCCTATGAGAACAAATTGTGCCTTGAATTACAGTTCCTCCACATGTAAATATAAACAACTGACACAGGATTTTGGCAAGTTTAGCCTGATCTGAAATAAAGTATAGAATATGATAGGAAAATACAGTTTATGGGATTTTTGGCACTGAGAGGCAGAAAGGGAACAGGATCCTGGGAGTGTGTGAAGCAGAGAGCTGGTTGTTGAGAACTACATATAGAAGATATATCATCGTTCAGGTACTTTTATATTACTCTATTGGTATTTATATACTTTGAAGATCTACTTAGAAACAGTGGTCCCTTGCTTCACTTTCAGTGAATTATGGTCTAAGAATATTTTAAAATAATACCAGTGAAAGCTGGTGAAGAGAATGCTTTAAAAGCCTTAGGAAGCATATATGTAATTTTGATGGAACTCTGACACACATAAAGCCAAAAGGGATAATGGAGTGGAGATGTCCAGGCTGTTCTCAGGGACTTCAGCAATCAGATTAAGTTGTAATCCCAAAATCTAAGAACTTACTTTTCCCTTGTAGGGGAAAAACCCTTTCTATGTGAGGCACAGGGATGTGGTCGCTCCTTTGCTGAATACTCCAGCCTTCGGAAACATTTGGTTGTCCACTCAGGTAAGAGTCTTCATCTGACATTCTGTGATCTCTCTGAGAAAAGATCTTTATTGTAGGACATTGATTTGATTTTTCTTAAGAAAAACCCTGGTTTTTATGGAACTTCTGGTCATAGTGTTTCATGACTTACCTTTTGTGGTGCCTGTAGCCCATACTCTTTAATCTTTTAGCTTGTTTCTGGTTCTAAATTAAAATTATGTTTTTTAAATTATTTTAAAAATTGTTCCTAAATTGTCATGAAGTTGAATATCTGTGTCATAGCTACCATTTTCTTATTTAAAAGAGAGACTCTATATATTAATTACAGCCATTTGAATCTGAAATCTCTCGTGAGTGGGTTTCTACCATAGGTAGGGTTTTCCTTTATTTTTTTCCTACTACATACTTAGATGGAAATGTATTTTGCAAGTGTTTCAAAGCTTCTGCCTTCTGTTTTAATTCAGCTATCTTAAATATCATCAGCACATGATGAATATGGTATGTTTGTGGAAGGGGAGATATTATTGTGGTAATAACTTTTGGGATTGAGTTTTCCATGCTTTTTCTTTCCTCTCTCCTTGGCTTCCATGCCATTGAGCTGACAGCTTTGGACAGCATACGGGGTGTATTGTGAAAATGATAGACTGCTGTGTAAAATGGAAATCCTGTCATGGTGACAAGTCATCATCACGTCTCTGCTTAGTAATGTAAACCAGATGCTGCAATTCATTGTGTGATGGCAGGAGATAGCTTCCTTGCCTCTGCTTCCTTGCATTTGGTCATTTTATTCTAGGTGTAGGACAGCAAATATTTCCATGTCACTAAGTGATTTGAAATAACTTGTTCCCTCTCATAAATCAGACTTGAAGGCTTTTTGTTACTTCAGACTTGAGTTTTCCAACAGCTGGCAATACTGATACCTAAACCTCTTCTGTTCTAGAAGCCTATTGCTCTCCAGAAGACAGGAATATTTCTCATTTGTTTTTTACTGATAATTAGCACCAGTGGTGTTAACTGCCATTTCTGAACAGTACTATTAGTTTCTTGGTTGATGAAATCTTTACTCCCAATTTGGTAATTCATGGGATATTTTTTCCCCCTTCTACTCCAAGGAGTGAAGCCCCATCAGTGCCAAATTTGTGGGAAGACGTTTTCCCAGAGTGGTAGCAGAAATGTGCATATGAGGAAACACCACTCCCGAATTGGAGCAGCTGGCAGCAGGGAGCGAGAACAGCCAGGTAAGGAAGGGAGCACACTCACTGAGCGTGCAGGAAAAAAATAGGGGATGGTCTAAGAGAAGGGAAGATGTTTATCCTGAAAATATGAGACCACAGGCCAGTAAGAAATACAAGTCTGTTCCTCTTGGAGATGAGGATTGATTGCTCACCTTCCACTTTTCTAGGACAGGAGACAAAGGTGTATTTCTGTATTGTGGTCAAGGAGCAGATATGTTTATTGTTTTCAAAATTAACATGAATCTAATTGGGTTTTTTTATATGGTTTTCCCCTTGGTTATATATTCTTGTAAGCGGCCTGCATAATTCACTTATGCAAAGTGAATTATTTAAAGAGAAAGCCAATCCTGCATGAGATCCCGCCATAGTAAGGTTCAAAAAAATAAACATAGTATTTTCCATCCATTAGAGCTCTGAATGCTCAAAGAGTAGGAATGGGTAAAAGAGGTGTCTAGGGAAGAAGTCTTTCTGACTTGAAGGGGGGCAGGGATTGTATCTTATGTTGCAGTACCATTACATCATGAGAATTTTGTTTTACCCTTTTTTTCACAATAGAGTCACTGATGGGTAGCAGTTTGCTGGAAGAATCGACAGTGCATAGTAAGAGTATCATGTCCATGAACTCTCAGCCCAGCCTTGGTGTTGAGTCTCTGCACCTGCCAGACACTGAGTCTATTATTGGAGTAGAGGAGGGTGAGACCAGCTGCTCCTTTTTCCGCCCTCTTATATGTGGTGACTGAAGTGGGATGGATCATTCCTCCTAGAGGCTCACCAAACTGCAGTGGATGAGTGAACATTGTTTTAACTGTGGACGGAGTGGGTGGGTAGATGGAGGATGAATCATAAAACTGGAGTTGGAGAAGATCTGCTGGACCAAGTTACTCTTGCAGAGCTTAAAAGGTGAAGTCTGCTGCTTAGGTGTCATTTAACCCATGTTGTGGAATGCCATTTCAAAAGTGCTCATGCAGTCCATCTCCTAAAGCCTAAAGTGTTTGTTTTGCTGGAGCACCTAGGAGCCCCAGTTAAGGACCAGGACCTCATTGTGCTAGGCACTGTACAAACATTCAGTATCTCGAGCAACAGACCTTCCTTCCATCCTTTACCTTCAGAGACTATATTGTAATACATCCCACTGTCAGAAGCTGACTTACTATCTGAAATAAATGTACTACTTGATATCATTTGGTTACATATGCTGTGTTCTTTTACTGCTTTTCCCAGTCACTTTTTCCTCCAAAATCTTTTTGGTATATCAAGCTCTTTAAATGAGCCTACTATTTGGTGTTTTGAATTTTTCGTTAACTTAAAAACTTTCTTCAGAACTGGCATAACTGAAAAAGCAGAGTTTTGCTAAGGTACTGTGTGTCTATAATAGCTTCTATGCAAAGAGAATGCTTGGAATTTATATTGGTCCCTTGCTGAATGGAAAGGTAGTGCTGCTGCTAGTAAAGATCTTGTAACCTGGAGGTTCCTGCAGAAGCTCCACCAGGTACCTGTCAGTTGAGGTCTGATGCAATGCATTCAGCTAGGTATTGATCTCTGTAATGTAGCAGTATGAAACCCCTGGGCCACAAATTCTTGGATTTAGTACTTTGTTATGATTAAAAATGTCACTATCTCAGTTTTATATTTTATCTAATGTGGTAGCTCTTACAAGTACTGTATTTCTGATTTGATGATGCAGTTGCATTGTTACAACTGCAAGTGTAACAGGAGAAAAGGATTGAGATGACAAAAGAAGCTTCTATTTAAAAAGCGAGGAAAGATGATTGACAAGGAAACTGAACACTGAAGAACATGATAGCCATTTGAAAATATTTTAATCTCAAAGTGCAAAATTCTCAGGAAACATTCCAGGTGGCAAGGATTTTTACTTCTGAAATGGTTATTACTGTCAGGTAAAGGAAGATCACTAATGTGTGAAATATACCATTCAAGATGTGCAGGCATTTGAGTGCAACATGCTGACAGGTAATACCTAATCTTACTTCTAACAAAATCCATTTTTAATACCACAGTAATAGTAGAATTAGGACAACAGCAATTCAAAGTGATACCCTGTTTAATTACAACCTTCTTTATAATTCTGTTTGGGTTTCGGGCCAAATTAATGACTTAAATTGGTAAGATGTTAAAACACTTTCAAATAATGAAATATGGGAGATTTTTTAATATAGGAAGACTATTGCTTCTTACTAGGGACTAGTGACTGAACGAAGAGTTAACTCCAGAGAAAGACTTCCTTTTGAGTCTTCTCCCAAGGTAGGTCAAATCCCGGTATTTGTTTTTGTAGAAGTACCTTGTTTGGAAGCATTCTACCACACATATGTCTAAACCAAGGTTTAGCACACTAAAGGGCATTCTCCTCTTCCAATTGCTTCTGTGGCATGAATGCAAGGAGCTGACACTAGAGGATGCACCTCTTCAATCTTTCATATCTACTTTTATCCAAAGATAGTGCTTCAACCTTTTTAACTTGTTGCCCATTAAAGAAAGGGAAATGGCTCACACAAGGAACACTTGTGAAGACTAAGGGAGGCTGCAGGCTTTGCTGGGTTGGACAAGACATGCTCAAAACAACAGTTGGTCTTTTTTTTCTTTACTAAATTCTCCCATCTCACTTACCCCAGAGCCATTCTTAGGTGTCAGCTTAAACCATTAAATTCCTGAGGATTAACCTGGAGAATCCTGGATTTAAAAAATCAAGAGATGATCAATGGATTCTTCTGCTAGCTCTTATGCTGCTGGTTCCTTTCTGCTTTGTTCCTCCTGAGGTACTCCTTCCTGTACAGTACAGTCGTCCTTTTCACCCGGAGGCTTGGGCACTCTGCAGAAATAGTGACTGTCTAATACTGGAAATGGTTTGCCCCATGCTTAGGAAATAGAGTGCAGTCATAGGAATTCAGACAGAGAAGCCACGATGCTTAATAAGAGCAGTGAAGTTGATTTTTCCTACACTAGATAATAGAAACTGGAATGCTTCATGAACAAGGAAAATACTTTAAGTCAAAGACAAAAGAGCTGTACTGTATTGTTTTTATTACCTGTGTACATCAGATTCTTCTTCCAGCAAGTTAGTGGCATTTTTCCCTTTTCTTCTTACAAATTCTTCGCTCAGGCCAACCTGCTGGAGAGTGTTTCTGTAGCGACGTTCTGCTCCTTGACGAGCATCATGCTATGAAATCGAAACTTAGAACAGTAAGCAGTAGAACTGGGGTTTCCCATAACAGTCAACTTGTTCTAAAGTACACAGCTGACACTCCTAAAGGGGACCAGAGGACAGCAGAAGCTCCTGTCCAAAATTTTTGTAATCCATACAGTACAGTACCATAACTGAATATTAGGACAATGTCTCATGTCTCTCAAAGCCAGAGCTCACCTTTTCCTGCTTCTGTTCTTTTTTTTCTTCCTTCTTCTATTCTCCTTATACTGCATTCCAGTCTTACCAGACTAGCATACTTGTGTCTGAGTCCTAACTGACACTCAAATTGAAAATACGTCCAAAGGAGAGTTGTGGGAAATCCTAGAAATGTTTGCTTGTAATTGGTGAGAGCTAAAAACAGTGGAGTTGATAAATGGAGATCACCTGTGAAATAGCTTCATATCAGCTCAACTGAAAACCAAGCATCTTGGATCCTATATCCTCACTGCCTGCAAACAAACCTTGCAAATCAATGTAGTCTGAGATGATGGTTTTCCAGAGAGACCGGCCAGTTCTAAAGATTAGGGTGTTCTATATGGAAGGATAGAAATCTGAGTGAATGCAATTGATACCGGTGAATTCTTACCAACCTGGCACACAGTAATGTTACCAATGTTTATCATATACTTCTGTTCTCTGCCTCCATGATCAGAACAGAAAGCCTGACCCAGGAGGATACTTTCCGTTGAGAAATCTTAAATCAGCATATTGTCAATGTATTTTGTACATTGACATGTACTTTAACCAGCTCTCATCCCTGCAAGGATGTGGAACTGGAAGAGAAAACCCAGGGAAAAACATACAAGGAGTACATTAGAGAGTACAGATTGTATCTACACCTCAGGTGCAATGCAGATTTGCAGCTGGTGATGGATGAGATGTGCTGAATGCAGTCCCAGATTGCAGAGTCTGCAGGTGATAATGATGTAACCGTCATTAATGTTCTAGTAGCAGTAGAGGTACAAAAAAAAAAGTGCTTAACTGGAGAGGGTTTTAAGAAAAAAGTTTTGCATTTCTAGACTGTAGTCTATGGCATTCAGGTGCAGAATAGGTATTCATATAATTTCTGGTGTGATAAAGGCTTGATTTTGACCACACCATATACTGTGATTATAATATATACTAGGAACTGGCAAGCTCCTAGAATTAAGTCAGTGTTTTTTTCAAGTGGTGGGAAGGAATTTAAATTTCACCTGGCTGGCTCTTCCATGTATTATTTTGAGTGCAGTCAAGAGACTATGCAACCATTCGCACCTTCTTATCCATGAATTAACTTGAGACTAGACTTCTTAATGCCTGTCTTAAATGAAAGACAATGTATCCTGTTGCCCAGAAAGTCTCTGGGACTTTGACCAGTTACCTTGGTGACCTGTTCGAAGAGGTATGGTCTGCTCTTGACTCGCAGCTGCATTTCTTCCAGCTCCTTTCTGTATTCTTTTGTTCTCTCTCTCATGTTTTGCCTGAAATGGAAAAATTGCCTGTGCAATATAGGTTCCCTCTGACTGTAGCTGATCAGGAATGAGGAATCCTCAGTAACTTTTACTTTTTAAATTGCTTTGGTAAGTCTCTTGATTCTGAATGCTGGGCAAAAAAAAATCCTATTGCTGGCAAGTTGTGGACCCATTAGCAAAGCTCTTCTATGAGAATATAAAGCAAGGAACCAGTGTTCACATTTCTAGAAAACCTTGTTTTAAGTGTGCTTTACCAAGTTACACATTACAGTTGACTGGTTTGTAAACTTAGTTTCTACAAATGTTAATCTAAAGGAAACTGTTCTGTATGGAAGGAATAGCGTGGCATTGTCAAGAAATCCAAATGAAGGGGTATAAAAGCAAAAAAAAGATAGGCTAGGAATGTTCTTAGACCCAATTCCTCCTAAAGAATTATCTGATGATTCCTAATTGGTGGAGCAAACAGTCATTTCTGTGCAGAATAGGATACTGACCGGTTCTGTTTCGACTTCTCCTTGTGTGTTTCCTCCAGACTTTTATGAGGATCCAGTGCTTTTGCTCGGCTGTTCACTGACTTCTGCATAGCTTGACATTTCATTTTCTGTTTCTCCAGCCAATTAATTCCTTCTTTATCCCCTTCCTTTTTGTTAACTTGGGAGTGTCTATATAGAAAAAGAAGTTACTAATGAGCTCACTGTGGACTGCCAGACCACATGCTACCTGGGAATTTCACTTTTGCAGTCCTCCAGTGAGAAAAGCAAAATATCAGCCATACGAGTACCCAGCTCCCAAATCAGCTGGGAGGTAGAGCAAGACTCAGCAAAGAAAGAAGACAGAGAAACATTTAGAAAACGTGTAGTTGATGTGATGAGGGAAAACACTGATTTTTTTTCTTCCATTTTGGTCATTAGTTAGTGTAGGGTCTTGTAGACAAACTTTCCTACTTACCTAATAGCAGATTCCCTTCTTCTAGTTGCATCGGTAATATGCACTGGAAGGGTGTTGGAAGAGAGAGAAGAAAGTCTGGTCAGAGAATGACTTCTTTCCACTGAAACCTTGGAAAGCTTCTCAGAATCCTGAAAAAAATGGAACTTCATTCAGTTCACAGTACAGCATCTCCTCTGTTCTTTGCCTACCAAAGAGAACAGCTGGAATATGTGGGCAATCCATTCATTCTTCTCTCTTCCCCCAGCAGGGTGGAGGGGCTGACGGATGAGGGAAAGGAAACAGGATTAGGGCTATGAAAGGGTGGCTCAGCCTTATCTACCATAGCTCATCTCCTTGTGTAGAATGTTGTTTTGTGGTTTGTCCTAGGATTCTGCAGTACTCTCAATACAAGGGCAGAGGTCATGGGATATTAACCATCCATAGTTAAATGCTATAAATTGAAGAAACTGATATCTTGATCGGAGAAAGCAGTACCACAGAAATATCTAGGTATCTCACCTTTATCTTTTCATTAGCCTGCCTCTGCCTGGCACGGAGATTGGAGGTTCTTAGCTTGAATGGCTTATTACGAGTTGGCTCTTTGATTTCTTGTCTCCTTACTGCTTCCTTCTGAAATGCCCAGTAAAGTTCTTCAAAATCCGGTATTGTTGGATTAATCCTTGGCTTGAAGCTGAAACTTTTGTCCTGCAAGAAGCCAAGCCTTTCCTGCTTGGTTTTGGTGGCAGTTCGGGACTGAGGCTCCCTCCGACAGTTGCTGGTGTCTATTGGAGCCACTGAGCTCTCAAGCAAATCCTTTGCTCTCATTTGAATGCGGATTTCTCTGTAGAGTTCAGCTTCTAATGAATCAAAAGGAAAGCAATGAAAAGAGAATGAATGACATAAAAGGCTGTGAAATTGCCACTGCACAAGTCTAAACTCTCCTTTACGATGGCAGCTCACATATATAGGAGAGACCAGATATCCTGTGCTCTCTTTCCCTACTTTTCAGCCCCTCTCTCCTGTGAAAAATAATTTAAAGATACCAGAAAAAAACATGGTAGGGTCTCTTTCTTATGCATTAATTTCTAGATGTGTCTTTCAATTATTGAAGCGAGTTATTGAACAGGTCTTCTCCTCCTATTCTCCGGGGTACCAGATAACTTGCGCCCCTTTGTCTTGCAGAAGTGTTAATCAAGGTTCTGCTTTTCATATAGGACTTTATGTCATTATGTTGATGGTGTGATCCATATGGGCTGTTCAAATATACTTGTAATGGATGATGGCTTATCTATATAATATCCACCAGAAATTGTCTATATTGGGAAAGATTTTGAGTGAGAAATATTTGATGGATAAACCATGTCTTGTGACTTCCGTGACAAATTTTCCATAGAAAGAATGTGTTTCAGAGTATAGCATCAAACTGAAGTAATTTCTTGTGCAACACTAAATATTTGTGAAAATGCAGACAAACAGTTGTCTGGGGGTTGGTTTTTTGCTTTTAGAAAAAAAAATCAATACTGCTGTTTCCAAAATAAGACATTTTAAAGTCTATTTACAGGTTTGAATTGACTGAGATATGAAATATTCATTTCTCTTCTCGCACTTGGGTGCGAGTAATGGTCAGATGCAAGTAATGGTCAGATACAAGATACCGCATGGACCTTGGACACTTATGGCACTACAGCTGTCTTCATGTTTGTGCCACAAATCATCTCAGCCCCTTTAGTGTGACCAAAGGGAAGGAATCCAGTGCAGGGAAGGGCTCCCAAACTGTCATGATTTGCAGCAAAAGGGAAATCTGTCTGAAGAGCTCAGTGTGCCCATGTTTGCTGGGGAGTGGAACAGAACTGTTGCTGCTGGCACTCTTACAACACTACTAAACTTAGGACACGCTGCTGTAAGGGTATCTAGACAAAATGTAATAACCAGTGACACATAGGAGACCAGACAACACCGGGGGATGCAATGACACTGGCCTTATGCTTCAAGTAATACCCTATGGGCCATGATCTTACCTCCCAGCATGGAGACAGCGAGGGATGGGTAGGGAGGTGCTTTAGAGAAAGAGCTCTGGCATGTTACCTTTGAGTTTATTTCCAAGAAGTGGGTGGTAAGTAGATTTAGGAACTTTTTTACTGTCTTGCTTCTGTTTGGAGCTCTCATTTGGGGTGGCTGCTGACAGGAATTTTTGTCTGATAGCTTCTTTCTTTTTCTCCTCCTTCTCCAGGAAACTGAAGGGCCGCTGTGTTGAAAGTAGCAGCTCCTTTCTTTTCTGCATTGCTGTTTGCCTGCGAATCTCATTCTGCTCCATTATTTCCTGATAAAGGGGCAGAAACACATGGGCAGGTACAGGCTGTGCCCGGAATTGTTTCTGACATTCGGCTTCATCCTGGCTTTGCCTTTTGTCTCTCTGTTTGTCTAGTTCAAGAAACATGTATGACTTCATCAGCTCAGACTTTTTGCGAGCTTCCCGCAGTGTCATTTTGAAAGGCTGAGGGATGGTGATGGAAGGAATCCAGGGAGATGAAGCACTTTTTGGCCTCAAGCGGGATTTAGGAAATAAGTGAGGCTTTTGCTGATCCCAGGTACTGTCCGAGGTGAGGTCGGTCAAAGAACTGGACTGCCTTTTGTTACCAGATGTATGACTAAGGCAAAGACATTATGAAGGGGAAATTACTGAAATTATTAAAAAATAGAGTTAAAAGAAGGGAGACACTGTTGATTAAGAGAAAGACACCATAGGCTGAGCTGCTTGTTAAAAGACAGGCCTAGGGTTTGTCATTCTCAGGCTCCATATTTTGCTTTGCTACCAAAGTTCATGAGCAGAGCTTTGCCTGTTATATGTTTTCCATGTACAAAATGGCAGTTGCTGCTGCTTAGCTTTGTCATGCAATTTATTACGCTCCTAGCACTGTACTGCTAGAAGGGCCACAAGTAAACCAGAAAGTCCCAACTTTTGCCCACACAATTTGTGCACACAGATGCACACAGCATTCCCGAGACGCTGATAGGAAGGTCATTACAAGAAATTGCTTTAGTGCAACTCTTAAGAGGTTCAGTTGGAAACTGTGTAACTGAGAAGATGACTATATAACTGATAAAAAGAAAAAAAACAACACCCGAGACTATCCTAGGTCTCATTAAAATAGCAAACTTCTCACAGGATGTTTGAGGGTAATTGTGAAAGTGAGTAAAACCTACGAGATTTCAGGCAGGTAATAAATGCAGGCAAAATGAAGGATCAAGGTGAATCAGAGTGGACTAAGAACAGGAAAAGGAAAACAAGGGGTGAAACAGAAGGTGCAGATCACCTGTAAACAGGCTCCTTGTTAATATACTCGCCCTGTGATTGCTGAAGTCTCTCCTTCTTTATAAACCATTTTCTTTGTAAGAGCATGCATGTGTGATCTGCTAGTGAACATCAAACTAGACTAACCACAGGGAAAGACGTCTGGGAGCTTGATGTTGGAAAGACCACAGGTCTGAGGAGTGGATGCTGGGCAGAAAGGTGGTTGATCTACTGGCAGATTTTAAGCATGATTAGCTGATGAGCAGGAAGGGGATTTGTGCTGTTTTATGTGAATGGTGCTTACGTAGGCGCGTGTTGACCCCATCCTCCCATCTGTGAATACACTCGTGGACAGTGTTTTGGCACTACACACGTGGATTTTAGGACGTCATGCGCTGCCTTGTCCCTGGCCAGAAGCAGCAGGAAACCTGCATGCCATCTTGCCATCCTTACCAGGCACCATCCTACCTGAGAGCCTCCCTCAGCTTCTCACGCAGAACTTCCACCTCCCGCCTGAAACCCTCCAGCTCCTCATCCTCTTCGAGCACCCCGAGGTCACCCCATAACTCTGCCTGGCACGGTGTTCCCGGTTCTAACGGAGACCGCCGGCCTCCCATCCTGAGAGGCTGCTCCCAGCTCCTCGCCTGACGGTGGGAATCGGAGGAGTCGGTGTCTTACAGCCTGGGGGTGGGGTGGGGTGTGTCGTGTCGCCTGGAAGAAATGAAATAAATCGAGAAGTGCTCGTTCTTGGGGTGCGACTCCAACCTGCCCCTGCCCTCACCTGCAGCCCGCGCCGCCGCCTCAGCCCTCCGCGACCCCCTCCCGGCCTCCGCCAATCAGCGCGGCCAGTGGCGCTTAGGCCCGCCCCCTCGGCCTCAAACAGCCAGGCAGACACAAGGCCGGCGGCGCGTGGGCAGGCGTTGCCATGGTTTCGCGTCGCGACTTCCGCCCGCCGTCACTTCCGCGGCGATGGCGGCCGCGCGCGGGCAGGCGCTGTCCCTGCTCTGGGCGCGGCTGCGGCCCCGTCCCGGCCCCCGCGCCCCGCTCCGCGCCGCCGCCGCCGCCGCCGCCGCCCCCGCACAGCCGCTCTACGATGTGGTGGTGTCGGGCGGGGGTATGGTCGGGAGCGCCATGGCCGCCGCCCTGGGTAAGGCTGTGACCTTCTCGCCCGCAGTGTGAGATAACTGTGGTTGCCATTTAGGATCTTAATGTTCAGGATCCTGCTGTGGGATCTTTTTGTTCCTGCACTCTAAAGTTGACTTAAAGCTGTTTGGTGAGCTGATCTGTGGTGAGCCTTGCGCCATCCGTATATGTGCACTTCTGCTAATGGAACCATTGCTTTGAATTCTGCAGACTGCTTGTGGTTTTTCTGTCAAACATGGTCACCCTTAAATTGCTGATGGATCATTTCAGCCGTAGCTGAAAACGTTTTCTGATCAGAGTGGTTAGGGTTGGAAGGAACCTTAAAGATCATCTAGTTCCAACTCCCCTGACGTGGGCAGGGACACCTTCCACTAGATCGGGTTGCTCAAGGTCCCATCCAGTCTGGCCTTGAACACTTCCAGGGATGGGGCAGCCACAGATTCTCTGGGCAACCTGTTGCAGTGCCTCACCACTCTCACGTCAAAGAACTTACTCCTATTATCTAATCTAAACCTACTCTCTTTCAGTTTGAAGCCATTCCCCCTTGTCCTGTCACTACATACCCTTGTAAAATGTCTCTGTCCATCTTTCCTGCAGGCTCCCTTCAGGTACTGGAAGACCCCAGTTAGGTCATCCCTAAGCTGACTCTTTTCCAGGCTGAACAAACCCAATTCTCTCAGCCTGTCCTGTTAGGAGAGGTGCTCCATCTCTCTAACCATCATTTTCTGATCCCACATTTCATTCTCTAACCCTGTATTTTAAACACTACAATACCAAGATAAGCTGGATTTATGCTTGGTTTGTATCACTAGAGATCCTGAGATCACTGACTGCTTCTTTATTTGCAACATGGATTCAGAAGGGTGCAACAGTGAGAGAAGCCTAAAGAAAATAGTGCAAAGAAGAGCCAAAGATTCTGAGCAATAAGTGTTTTGCAAATATAAGGTTTACTGATTGTTCTGCTTGTATTATTAAATAAGACCACAGTGGAACTGAGACAGCATAAGGATCCCCTCCAGCAGTGATATCTAAGGCTGACACACAAGTTTGGGACCTTTCAAGAGAGGAGGTTATTGTTATGCATAATCTAGAAAATATGTCCAGGATATGCTGTCTTTAGGGCTGCTGTAGTAGCAAACTCTGGATGTTGCAAGGATACCATTTCTGTCCTCAGTACCTTCTGCGTCCATAGCAGTCGGATGCAGCCAGTGGCCAGCTCAGCTGCAGTGATTTACTCTTTACTTGAGGCATCTCTTCATTTTTATTCAGTTCTCTTTAACTGAAAGTTAAAGTCTGAACTGGCTGTGCTATTCCATTGTCAGAATATAAGGACATTAATGTAAGAAAACATTAGTGTAATTGCTATGGATCAAAGAAGTTCTAAGATCTCTTGTTCTAAAAGGTGAATTTATGTTTAAGCTCTGAAAGATGTGTTTGGTACATGCAGTAAACATTGCAGGTTTCACTTGTTACTACTCCAGTAATGAATTTTCATAACAAAATGGCACAAATTTGTTATGAAATTTGTTACAAAAATGTAAACTTTAATAAAAAGGAAAAATGTGTAATCCTTGCTTTAACTGCAGAAGGGTTGTCCATCTCAGTAATGAAATTATAGCCATAAAGCTTTGAAATACAAGTTTACTTGCCTGGTCAAAACCTGTGTTATAAATGTTTGCATCTACTCTGTCTTATTAAAAAAGTACATAGGTGTTACTGAGAGAGAAAAATGAGATTTTTGGCAGGACTGTTGTAACAAAGCATGTATTTGCTTATTTTAGGCCATGATATTCACTTCCATGATAAGAAGATTGCTTTGCTGGAGGCTGGTCCTAGGAAAGAATATGATCACATGCCAGATAGTTACAGTAACAGGGTCAGTTCCATCTCCCCAGGATCAGCAACCCTCCTAAGCAGTAAGTATGACTTTCTTGTTTGCATTTATCACATTTATATTTGAGCTGGTTTTATTTTCTTTAAACAAAACCCCTTTGAGCACATGCTGCCTGCATCTTAAACTCAATAGAATTATTTGCCTTTGTCTCTTAGTATTCTATATGCTGAGCTGTGGTGATTGAATCGGACTTCTCTTGATAACAGGGATCTGTGTTCTGGTATCTTGGTCTGATTTATCATTATATAAATATTTATGACATTAGGGTAGTGAAAGGTTGTAAGGTGCTCTCCACAAAAGAAGCATGTTCTTAGTGCTTTGTAGTCTAGTAACTAAGTCCTGAATTAATGAGGTGTAATTGTCATTTTAAAGAGAGATTTGAGCCTTGATTCCTTATGGGAAAAGAAATATTCTAAACAATGATGCTTTTCTGTGTCTGTTTTATTACCCGGTGATGGGACAATGAGAGTTGTCTGCTAGGTCAGACGTTCATGGAGAGCTCTTGTTTCTTCCTGCTGGCTTGTGTTAGCAGTAAAACCATGTGATGCTGGAGCTGTGATAGCACTGAGGCAGACCTGGCTCTGCCGAGGCACGGTGCAAGCTGACCCCGAGCATTGATAGTCAGGGAGGGTAGAGGAGAGTGTGGAGTGAGCTTCAGTTTTGTTTTGGTCTCAGTGTCACATGTGAGCCTGTGTCTCCATTTGTGTCCTTTTTCAGGTTTTGGTGCCTGGGATCATGTCTGCAGCTTGAGACTCAAACCATTCCGGCGAATGCAGGTGCCTGACTTAGGGCTGCAAATATACCATGTGTTTGTCTACTCTGAATTCTCCAGAGTACTTACATCAATGTTACAAAGGTTTTTCTTTCTTTGGCAAAGGGCAGGTCATGCTTATGTTCATTCCTGTTCCTTTTTTGTGGGTTGCAATCTACTCAGAAATACTTGTCTCAGGGTCTTGGTGTTACAGGCTGAAAGGTGGATTCCTAATGGAACCTGTAGATATTGAGGCATGGGTACTAGCGGGAAAATAAAGGTAAAGGCGTGTATTGGTTTTGGCTGGGATAGAGTTAGTTTTCTTTATAGTAGCTTGTATGGGGCTGTGTTTTGGATTTGTGATGTAAACTGTCGATAACACAGGGATGTTTCAGCTGTTGCTGAGCAGTGCTTACACAGTGCCAGTGCTGTCTCTGTTTCTCACACTGCCCCACCAGTGAGCAGGCTGGGGGTGCACAAGAAGGTGGGAGGGGACACAACTGTGACAGCTGACCTAGCTGAACACAGGGCCATGCTCCAGCAATAAAAGCTGAGGAAAATGAAGGAGGAAGGAAGTTCAGAGTGATGGCACTTGTCTTCCCAAGTAACTGTTATGCATGATGGGGCCCTGCTGTCCTGGGGATGGCTGAACACCTGCCTACCCATGGGAAGGGGTGAATGAATTCCTCGTTTTGCTTTGCTTGCACATGCAACTTTTGCTTTTCCTATTAAACTGCCTCTCCCTGAACCCATGAGTTTTGTTTTTGCACTATTACCCTTCCAGTTGTCTTCCCCATCCCATTTGGGGGAAGGAGCAAGCAGCTGCATGGGGCTGAGCTGTCTGCTGGGGTTAACCCACAGCAAGGCAGGTTAGCTTTATATGTTTCTTATGTAACAGGAAAGCAGGGATAAAAACTTGCAATTACTTTTTGAGCTGATGCCAAGTCATTTAATGACAGAAATTACGTGATGCACTTTAGTAGCTTCATTCATTTAGGAATGAAGGAATGGACAGTAATCCAGGATGTTTCCTCTAGTTCTGTATTTTTCGATTACCGTGTCCTTTTGCTGTTAAGTCTCTGAAAGGGACAGCACTTCTTTGTAACTTCATGTAATGTATTTTTTATTTTGTAGGTGTGGGATGCTTGTTCTGAAGCCATGATCATTTTTGAGAAAGATGACTTAGATGACATGGGTTACATAGTGGAGAATGATGTCATTATGTCTGCTCTCACAAAACAGTTAGATGCAGTAGCAGGTAGTGACAACTTCTTGATTATTTTATTTCCAGCATAGAGCTTACAGTTACTTGCCTTCTGTTGTGCGCAATAAGTTTTGAGAGGGAGAAATTAGTCTAACAAGCGATTCTTGAGATGTGGGCAGCTTCTTGAACAGGGGGGGAAGGGAGAAATCTGTCTTCCGAAGGCTACACAGCAAGAGCAGTTGCATATGTAGTTCTCCAGAATGTAGTCTCTCCAAAAATAGACTTAACTAAAAGATCTGTAGCTCTTTGTCCAAAGCAGGCCTTGCACTGACAAGGGGTTGTTCAGATCTGTTCTTTCAGGGTGTCTTGAAAATTGTAGTGTCAGCTTTTATGGTGCTGTTAAAATATGTGTGACCTTTGCTGTTGTAGCAATGTTTCCTTTTTTCCTGTTTGTGTCATGCTGTGACCATGACACTTTGTGTTCCCATCAGACCGGGTGGAGGTTTTCTACAGGAGCAGAGCAGTCGGGTATACGTGGCCCCTTCCCTCCCACAGCTGTGACACAAGCCCTTGGGTCCAAATTCAGTTAGCTGATGGACGCAGACTTCAGACCAAGCTGCTGGTAACTAAGCTCTTTATTTCTGTTGATCAGGCAGCATCTCTAACCCAAGTCCTTTCCACTGGATTTGGTTCTGATTCCATGTGTGCCGCTCCACTCACATGGAGTGCTTGAGTGAGGTGAGTGGCTAACTCTGTCAGAGATGCTATGGGACACAGTGCATAGCCTTTTCTGTACCCGGTGCAAGGAGGCTACTGAACTGGACAGGAGCAGAAGGGGCTACCTTTTCTGGGTTTTGGGCAGGGTTTGGTTTTTTTTTTT